ATGGAACTGATTGCAATCTTTTGGTCAAGACTGAATTGTCAACCAATTCTTCCCTGAGGTAACGGTTAACATGCTTACTCACGACATTGAGAATGTTGTGCATCATGTCAAATACCATATCTGTGAGCACATTAAAGCCATACAATGTATGCAGTCGGTGGAGTATAGATAAACCAGTATAACCACTTTGCCTGGCTAAAGCTCCTCCAACAGTGGGTTGATCTTCACTTTCAATTTCAGACATTTTTGATGCATCATCTTCCAAATTGCGAGGTGGAACAGGAAATCTAGCACGATATCTATTCCCTCCAATATAATAGGTGCTACCACCAGCAATGTTTGTGCCTCTGAGATAGTGTCTCTGGCAAGGAAGTATTCCACAATTGATAAATTTTCCTACTTCACATTGTGCTGGAAGGTCCCCAGTCCATAGCAAAAGCATGCAACGTATGATAGCTTCTCCAGAGGTACAGCCCCCAAAGCCTCTTGCATAATGTACCTTTGTTCCCTTCATAACACTGTCCTCAAGATCTCGAACAAGGGGTTCCAAGAAAGGGTCTAAAGCACAGGGTCGTTTTTTAGTCACTTGGTAGCACGGAACAAATCCCACAACATACACTTCACTGGTGGAGCAGCGATCTGCTTTGGACATATTTACCACTGAAACATCTATAGCACCACAGCTATGACTAGATTTACTGTGAAATGGGTATCACCCATCCCAATGACCCATCAGTGCTATGTTTCTGGGGTCACCTTTAGCTTTTTCACCTTTACAAGTATTAACCGAGCCACACTAACAGCAAGTTACAGTGTAACTATGGCCATAATAAGGGGATCTCTCAATTTCTCTGCACTTAGAACAGATGAACAGAAATAGCACCTGAAAGGTAGAAACCACTCACAATCTGGGTCCCAAAACCAGGATACTTTGCTAAACCTTGAACTATCCCAAACTTCTTAAAGAGGATACCGAGCCACTTAGCTCGATTAGCCTTAGCTATTTCTAAGTGGCTGT